GGGAGCCGCGGAGAGGGGCCCGGGGCGCCCCCGGGACAATGCGGCGGCGGCCCTGGCCCGGGCGGGGGCGCGTGCGCGGCGTGCTCCTTCCCCTGGCCTCGCTTGGGCCACCAATCCTGCCGCCGGACGGGTGCTCGGGGGAGTCGGGGAGCGGACCCGGTCGGAACGGGTTGGCCGGCGGTGGGGGCAGGGGCCGAGGATGGCCGACTTGGGGGGAGGGAACGCTTCGAGAGGAGAAAATGGCGCTAGGTGCAAGTCCCTCCTCTTCCCAAGGCCGTCTCCTCGGCTCTTGGCCGCCTCCCACGCCCCCTCCGACCGACCTGTCTCCCCTCGCCCGAGCCGCCGCCAGCCGCGGGGCCCACAGCTTCCCGGCAGCGCGCGACCCCCTCCGCGTCTTGGTGCTCATCGTCCTCGTCTTGCACCGAGTTCGTGTATCCTGAAGTCCTAGTTTATTTTCACCTCGTTTTTTCTATTCTCTCACGCAATCAGCGAAGGCTGAAGATTCTTTTTTTTGCTGTTTTTTTTTGAGTTGCGTTTTGTACGTATTCTTCAACAGCGCTTTTAGTATCGTTTGCCTGAGTTACGAGGCTGCCCTGTTGGGGGTGGGGGTGAGGGGGAAACAGTAAATGCTTGTTAAGTAAAAGTAAAATGTATTTTGTCAGAAGTTCAAAAGGCTGGCTTTAGTTACCGTTATGTTTTCTTGAATAGACTCCTTATTTGGGTTAAGTACGAGACAATTCTTTTAAATGATCTTAGGCCCCCAGGCTGCTTTTAATAACAAATGGTCCTTATGCTTGACCGTTTCAAAGCGAAAAATAAGTTATGTTCAATTTAATTACCTTTTAAAAGAAGGTTTTCTGGCAGTTATATTAGCACTTACCATAAAAATACGAACTGAAATGATTTCGGAGATTAGGTTGTGAAATGGAGCAGTAACAGGAAAAATGTGCGAAACGTAGTTATGGACGTTGCTCTGCCCTTCTGAATTTATTCTTGTCCTCAGTTAAAATCAGCGTGGCTGGGTTGGGCATGTTTAGAGCTTTTTGAATTTAATTCATCTCAATCACGATTGAGATGGCCCACTTCTTTTACCTTGACCTCCTCTTGTGGAACACTTTTGATGCCTGTGCTAATAATGCAAGTTTAGAGAGCTAGATTATTTATGATTTTTTTGTTTTTGTTTTGAGGAGAACTTGGAGTCTTTTTTTCCTTTATTCAAGTAATGTTTACAGTGCGTGTTGTTTATTAGGCTCTTTAGGACATACAGAAGTTAATAGGACTCAGTCTTTTCTGAGATGGAGAGAGAAGAGTCTTTGGTAATCAGCATTTTACTACCCAGTATTATAAGTGCCTTGAAAAGAGTCTCCCACCCATGCATTGGAATTTTTTGAAATTTGGGGTGTAGGTTACTGATAGTTCTCTCACTGCCTTGCCCTTTGGCACTGAGTAAACGTCTACTTGTGAGTAAGGCACTAAACGTTTACCCCTTGGGGGGACCTGGGGAATGGACTTGAAAAAAGGTGATGCCCTCCCATAAACAGAGTCTTTAAATTTTAATTATATTCCAGAGTAGAAAATCAGTGTAAAATGCAATGAGTTGTTGTGAATTATATATAACTTTGTGAACTCTGCATTAGTATATGTTGTTATTTTGGTGGTATGACCAAAAAGTCAAAATTCACGCATACAAAATATGAAAAAAAAATTATAATGGCAAAATTAATTAAATATCACATCTGCATAGTACAGCTGTTTCCCCTGTTGCATGAATGTTAGGGTCAGTTCCCTGCAGTGAATAATTCTCCATTAGGTCTGATCTCATTAATAAGTGTAAAGTACTACTGAGTGGTTATTCACATTTCTTCTGGTTTTAACAGTAATTGTTGTCAGCTGCCTTGCAATCTACCCTATCCATAAATTTCTAACCCTACTAAAGTGAAGAATAAAAAGACGCTATCTTTGAGAAAGATAAAAGGTAGGAATGTGTGTATGACATTTAGTTCTTTCTCCTTACTGGATTCAGAACATTCTACTCTGCTTGTTTTCTGCAATTTAGAAGAGTGTAGATTAAAACTTGTGCTCATTGTAACAACTCCAGTACCACAAAATGGTAGAATGAACCATAGAACTTGTCTTCGAATTTTTGATTGGGGGAGAACTAAGTTCAAGGTAATGGAGCAAGTTGTAAATGTACATAATATATTTTTCTTTCAGAATGCCAAAATCAAAGGAACTTGTTTCTTCAAGCTCGTCAGGCAGTGATTCTGACAGTGAAGTTGATAAAAAGGTGACTATTACTGCACCAAATCATTTTTGTTTTACTTAATTCAGCAATATTGCGCACATCCAGTTCTGAAGTGTAGTAAAATGCATACTGGAATCTTAAAATGAGAATCTGGATGGGTGTTTCTGAAAGTGCAGATGGCCTCTGGACCACTTGACTAGAAGTGCCTAGGATGCTTGATGCACATCCACAGTCCCTAAATCAGACTTAACGAGTCTTCTATTAAGGATCTTTAGGAACCCTAAAGTTGCAGAACCACTGCCTTAGACCCTAGGAGAATAGAATTCTAATTAGTCCAGAGCCAGTATTTGCCATTATTTAGAAATCTGTCTAATCTGTAGGTATATTTTGTAGTAGTTGGGCCAGAATCTTTGAATGCCTGTGTTAATTTTGATAACCATTTCAGCCATTGGTGTTTATTCTGCCCACAAAGATCACTGAATTTTAGGCTTTGGTACATTTTAAGTTTGAATGTTGTTTGCTCTGGTCCCATTCTTTTAGATAAATCAGCACCCAGCAAAGCTAACATGAAACTACCCTTTTCACAGAATAGGCCTTTTGTGCATTAGATGACAACTGTGCTGTGAGTGGTGCATTCCACCTAATCTAGCATCTCAGTGGAGCATAACTGAGCAACTCACCTTGCAGTCAAGGCTTCCTTGCATGCGAACTGTCCTTTATTTCATAAAAGTTTGCATATGAGGTATCTTCAAAAAGTTCATGAAAAGAGTCATACTATCTTTTAATCCTATTTTTCCACAAACTTTTTGAAGTACTCTTGTATCCCAGAAATGGAATGAGTTGGTCGTATTCTTCTTAATTAGTATATCTCCTTTGTAAAAAAATAATTGACTAGCTTTAGTAATCCTTTGGTTTCCAAAAGTGTATTCAAAAGCAGCAGTCCCCTCATCTTTTGATTTCTCCCAAAGCTTAGCATTGTTAGCTAAAAGAAAAGGGAGAGCTTATAGGAGAATCTTGGAGAAGTTGGAACCTTTTAAGTATAAATACAGAATGTAATGTCACCTGAAAGGTTGAAATAAGGCTTCAAAGAGCATACATAGCTATACTTGAGGGAGGAAATCTCAATTTTTTGATTTGCACCCCGTATAGCATTTGAATACGTTCATGCAACAAATTAGTATTGACCTTCTATGTGCCAGGCATCTGCTAGTCCATAAGGAAAATACTTAGACCCTGAACCTGTAGGCACTTACATTAAATACTCCATGTTTTTTTTTTTTTTGTCTTTTTCCATGTCCGGCAATGGATCGCAACCCTCAGTGTTGCCCCCGTACCGGACCGGGGACCGGCAACGGGATTGCAACCCTCGGTGTTGCTCCCGCGCCTCGTTCAGCCAGTGAGCGGGAACCGGTCCATATGTGGGATCCGAACCCTCGGGCGGAAGTGCCGCTGCGCTTCCCAAGCGGCGCACTCATCCAGTGCGCCACCGGGCCGGCCCAAATAATTAATCATTTGCTCCCTCCATGTTTTTCATTTCATGTTTTACATATATATGTATACTGTTTTATCTCGCTTCATGTAATTTAGTACATTAATAACAAACTACTTTTCCACTAAGAAGGAACATGACTGCCCTCTGCTGTTTGGGTTGGGAACTCTAGTGCTATTTATGGGCTGTTAGCTCATTTTGAGAATGAGGCTATACATAGACAAAGTTTTTATAATGCTGTTTTTAAAACGTTGTGATTTGTATCTTTGGTGATTTTTTTTTTTTTTAATTTTTGTGCTGAGGAAATTCTTGAATTATTGACTTCCAGTGCCCAGTACAAAATAAGTCTCTTCAGCTTTGCCTAGTCATAAGTTCCTTAAGTTAATTTAAATCCCTTTTGGAATAGACAGGGCATAAATAATATTCATGTTCTAGAAATGGAAAATTTGGTTATATTCTTCTTAAATAGTGTATCTGTTTTGTAAAAAAAATAACTGACCACCTTTAGTAGACCTGTGGTTTCCAAAAGGTTATTCAAAAGCAGCCTCATCTTTTTTTTTCTCCCAAAGAAATCGTATGTGGGATCCCAAGCCACAAAATGACTGTTCCTCTGGTTAATACCGTTCCCATGCCTGAAGTATCTTGAAGTCCTGAGAACACAGTTTGAAAACACTATTAGATATAAGTATAGGTTAAATTCATAGTTCTGTTAAGTGAAACTTGTCTATGTATACAGTCATGCGCCACATGAGGTTTCAGTCAACAACTGACAGCATATATGATGGTGGTCCCATAAGATGATAATGCAGCTGAAAAATTCATATTGCATAGTGACGTTGTAGTCATAATGTCATGACTGAGTGCATTGCCCATGTATTTGTGGTGATGCTGGTGTAAGCTTACTGCAAGATATGTTGAGGAATGCCTAGCATACCCACAGGGTTACCCTCCCAAAGTTAAACCAGACCTTTAAGGTAGAAAGCCAAGCATTTGACACATGAGGCCTGACCCCAAGTGAACAGGTTGTTTTCTACTTTAGAATTCTTACATTTTTAAATAATTTCCACCCATCCCCATAGCAAAATGATAGCAATTAGTTAACAATTAGCTAACACTGAGTGCTTGCAGAGTGCCAGGCACAAACCCTACCTGTAATTTAATTTTTATAACTTTGTGGGATTATTATTCTAATCCTCATTTAACATGAAGAAAGTGAGGCACAGAGAGACTTAGTAACATAGCGGGCCCACGTTCATGCAACTAGTGACCAGTGTAGATAATTGGAAAATTCATTGCTGTTCTTTTTCATGATATACTTTTGCACAAAGGTAAATAACCTAACGAATGACATTTCTCAGAATGTATCCTTGTCGCTAAGTGATGCATGACTGTGTATTTATGACTTTTTCTTAGTAAATAAATGTAGTCTTTTGATCCCTTAAGTCTTAAAAAGGAATGGAAGCTTTTGAACCCGAGCTGTGTTTAATTCTTATGTGTGCACATTTTAACCATATTCTTGCATTTTCTTTCAAGTTAAAGAGGAAAAAGCAAGTTGCTCCAGAAAAACCTTTAAAGAAACAAAAGACTGGAGAAACTTCGAGAGCTCTGTCATCTTCCAAACAGAGCAGTAGCAGCAGAGATGATAACATGTTTCAGGTAAAGTTTGTTATTTCCTTAGATCAGGAGGAATTGTCTGGCTTGATGTGAAGAAGTTTAAAAGTACTTTAATGTGATATGGCATAATCTTTTATGTGCATTATAATCCTCTTGACTAGGATATTTGTTAAAATATACAAACTAGTTAGTATAGATTAAAGTAATTTAGAGGACACTGGATTATCGTTATAGTCTAGAAGTCTGTTGTTTTGCTGTAATTAAAACAAAGCAAATTTAAATGTTACAGAAGGGCAGGCCTGTAGCTCACTTGGGAGAGCGTGGTGCTGACACCACCAAGTCAAGGGTTAAGATGCCCCTACCGGTCATCTTTAAAAAATAAAAAAATAAAAAATAAATAAATGTAACAGAAATCCCAAAAAAGAGATTGAGAACTGCACATTTAGAGACCATCTTCAGAGATAGGTTGAATATTGGGATATGAAGTATGGATGCAGTATTGTTGGGCGGGGGAGCAGCAATATGACTTGCCTGATTTTGGCCTGATAAGAAACAGAAAAGGAGAGTGGGTTGAATAGATAAAATAAGGGAAATTCATTAGAGGGATTTGATGAAATCATCTGGAGAGGACTAGTATAGCTTCTTTTTTGAGTTTCTTACCTTGTTTTAGGGAGATTTGATACTGGCATCACTGTACAAGAAGGATTTGTGAGTGGAGAGGTCGTGAGATAAATAGATGCAGGTGAGATCACTTAGGTAATTGGAAGCTTGAATCTGTGTGAACTCATAAGGGCCTAGATTTTTTTCCTAAAGAAGATATAGTGCTGATTATAAGATACTGGTGAGGAATAATGGACCAGAGGAATTAAGCAATCAATAAAGACGATCTGATTGTAAATGTTATGAAATGAGGGTTTGCTCTAGCACCTGGAGGGCTTGACTGAGAAATGTTCATGTGGGGTCATCAGCATAGTTGACTGAGGCCACCCACTGAAGTGAGTGTAAGCCAGAGGAAGAAGAGCAGGTGGGTGAGGGCATGTCTTTGGTGATATACAAGTAAAGGCTGAGGATGTAAGGGTAATCTGGCTATGCCATCTGTTACTTCATTGATTGCCAGGGTTGATTTGGCTGATCTGGCTGGCTAGGCAGGTGTCCCTTTCTCCCTCATTGCTCCAAGTGCATCCCTCCTAAAGCTGTGTACTTGGTTGAAAAGGACAGCCTTTTCTGATAGAGGAGAGGACCCTTCTTTGGTCAAGGTGTACAAGTAACTGCTGTTCTCTGCTAGAACCTCCAAATAAGTTCTCAAATAGATGATGACAGGAAAAAGAGTATGTAGATGAAGAGGTGGTGAAGGAAGATTAGAAGAGTACAGTTATGGGAGAAAGAAAAGGATAAGTGTTTCAAAGAGGCATAAGAATTAGTTGAAGTCAAAAGTTTGGACAGAATGAGACCGTGAGCATTTATTTGAGTAGAAATTGAGGCTAGCATATATGTATTTTTTGACCCGTTGATGGCCTCTAAAGATGGATTAAGGTGAGAATGAGAAATTAGAAGTTGGGTATTTTTACTCATTTTTGCCTTGTTTTACTTCTGGATAAACAAAGCGGTGTAGAAGAGTTATTTAGTTATGGGTTAATTCCTCTGACTTTTATACAACCTAGAGGAGCTAGGGTTAGACTGTTAATTTGATAGAGAATATACGTAAAGGTTTGTATGTAAGGAGGAATTATAAAAGGACCCTCTTTGCTTTGATTGGATAATAAATTGAGTGATTATTGTGTTTGATATTTCATTCAGGCCTTGCCAGGTTCTGCATTGCAGAGATGAACCAAGTAGATGTGGTCTGTGGCTTCATGGAAGTTATGGGAACAAAAATTATACAATAAACATGTATATAACTAAAATCATGGTGAGAGTTGTGAAGTAAAAGGGTGGATTATTATGAGAGAGTAGGTGTTCTGGGAAGTGGGAAAGAGCTTGGATTGTGTAGGAGTTCTAACGCCTTTGTGGCTAGAAAGTCTGGTATAGATAGAAGATCAACTTGGTGAGGATGGTGAAGGAACAGAACTTGCAGGGCCTTCCTGTTGGGAGGCCATGTTTAGGGAATTTGTGTTTTATTCTCAGTGCAGTGGGAAGCTGTTTTAAGGGACAGAATGACATGTAAGATCTGCAAGAGTATCTCTTTCATAAACTTTCTTCTTATGTGGAATGAAGGGCTGCTTTGAAATGTTTTAATGTTTTAAGTATTTGTTGGGCAGCTATCTTGGGCTTTTCTCTGATCAGTTCTTTCCACTATTTGCCCACCTACTTTTACTAATATAGAGCATGTATGGCCTTTTAATGTTTTCTTTTTTTTTTTTTTTTTGGTGACTGGTTGGTATGGGGATCCGAACCTTTGACATAGGTTTTATCAGCACCACATTCTAACCGAGTGAACTAACCCACCAGCCTCGATGGCCTTTTAATAGATTTTTATCTTGCCTATCACCCCCCTAATTTTATAGATAGAGAAATGAGGACCCACATTATAGAGATTCTGTTCTGTTATAGTTTTATCAGCACCACATTCTAACCGAGTGAACTAACCCACCAGCCTCGATGGCCTTTTAATAGATTTTTATCTTGCCTATTCCACCCCCCTAATTTTATAGATAGAGAAATGAGGACCCACATTATAGAGATTCTGTTCTGTTAGAGTAGTTTTGGGAGAACCAGATTTGTTTCTAGGGGATGGTTTTTCCACCAAAAAAAGGAGCTTCAGTTCTTAAACCCTCATTTGGAAAGCTTACCAAGCCTCCTAAGGATGTTAGACACTTCACTGTTTGAAAATCTGCCTCCAGGAGGAACATAAGCCTTATTTTCATAGTGGCTTTCACAGACCTAGTAGTGTAAGTATCCTAAGAAATAATATACTTAATTTCACTGCTACTCTTTTTCTTTGAAATGATATTTTGGCTGTAGAAATGTATTTTGGTGGTTTATGCTGAATTATAATTTGCTTATGAGCACATTAGAATACATTGATTATATAATATTAAATGAGGCCTTCATTTTTATTATTAGTAAAGGCTTGATAATTGTATCAGAAAGATGGATAAGGGATGGGGTTTTGGGTTGGAAAAACAACCCCCCCATCGTGATACATAAGGTTTTTTTTTTTTTTCCCTTTTTGTCTTTTTTCGTGACTGGCAACGGATCGCAACCCTCAGTGTCGCGCCCGTACCGGACCGGGACTGGCAACGGGATCGCAACCCTCGGTGTTGCGCCCGCACCTTGCTCAGCCAGTGAGCGGCTGGTCTGTATGTGGGATCCGAACCCTCGGCGGGAGCGTCGCCGCGCTCCCAAGCGGCGCACTGTAGCACTGCGCCACCGGGCCGGCCTTACATAAGGTTTTTTTAAAAAATAGAACTACATGTTTTCTATATTGTTCATTTATGAAGAAAGTGCTTTGAAGACAGCTTCTATAGGGTGGAATTTTTTTAGACATTGCTAGATCATCAAATGTTAGAATCTTTCAGGACCCAGGACATCAGGTATGCTTTGCCAAAACAAATAGATCTAAAATCCAAATTAAAATTGTTTGGGTATTGGCTAGTAACTGTAAGATGGGATTTTTTTTTTTTTAAAGAAAACAAACATCTATCTCTTGGGAATAGAACTAGAGAAAATAATCTTAAAATTCTGGTATATCAAACATAAGCAGCTCTTTAAACGTTATATTTGAAGAGAGTTGTACCAGAGGAAAGTCACTGCCCTACTATTTTAAACTCTGGGATGATTTGGGCACAATACTAACTAGAGAGGGAATACTACTAGATGCTTGGCTTCTGATTCCTTCAGCTCTTGAATTTTAAGAACTTGGTTCCATAGGGAAATTATCTACTTGAGATGACATTGATATTAAAGATAGACTGAAAAACTGTCTTGTAATTACTTAGTACCTGTGTCTCAAAAGGTCAGGAAGGTGACTTTGATTCATATTTTTCTTCAGTTTTAGGCTCAAAGGGTCAGTAGTACCATCTTAGTTGATTTGATGATTTAAGGATAAGCCTGATACTTTTAAATTATAAATTAATTTAAATCATTACATACCAAGTCAAGTGTTTTTTTTTTTTTTTTTTTTTTTTTTTTTTTTTTTTTGTCTTTTGTCTTTTTCTGTGTCCGGCAACGGATCGCAACCCTCAGTGTTGCCCCCGTACCGGACCGGGGACTGGCAACGGGATCGCAACCCTCGGCGTTGCTCCCGCGCCTCGCTCAACCAGTGAGCGGGAACCGGTCTGTATGTGGGATCCGAACCCTCGGGCGGGAGCGCCGCTGCGCTTCCCAAGCGGCGCACTATCCAGTGCGCCACCGGGCCGGCCCAAGTCAAGTGTTTTTAACCTGGGAGTGGAGGGGTGTTGATGAATGGACTTTAGGGAGTCCATGAAATTGTGTGTTTTTTAGTTTGAATTTTTTTTGTATTTGAAAGGTTATTCATTTTCTTTATTAGATCCTCAAAATGGACAGGGAATCTCAGAAATTTAAGAATCATGTTTTGTATAGCGTATGTGCTATTTTTTCCTCGCTAAGGTCATGTGCATGTAAAAGTGTGTGTGTGTGTGTGTGTGTGTGTGTATTCTGTCATCTTATTTTATTTCTTCCCTTGAAATGTGATCACAGTGATATTTATTCTTTTTTCCTTTAATTATTATATCTGTACACTGCTATCTCATTTTAAAAAAAAATTTTTTTTAGTAAGAATTTGTCAGTTTTATTCATTTCTCCTTGAGATAAGTCATTGTTGGGCAAGTTCTTTTTAAATTAACTTTATTGAAGTATAATCTATGTACAATAAAATGCACACTTTTAAAAGTATAATTTGATGAGCCGTGATAAATGTACACACCCTTGTGGTTAGACCATTTTCATCACCCCAGAGAATTCCCTTTTGGCTTCCCTTTATGGTCATCTCTCTGCCCCAGGTAACCACTGATTTGATTTCTATCATCATAGATTTATTTTGCCTGTTCTAGAACTTCATGTAAGTGGAATCATACAGCCTGTATATTTATTTGTCTGGCTTCTTTTGCTCAGCATAATGTGTTGAGATTAATCCTTATTGTGCATATTGGTAGTTAGTTCCTTTTTATTGCTGAGTAGCATCCTGTTGTGTGATTATACTACAACTTGTTTATCTGTTCACCTTGGATGAACATTTGGGTCGTTTCGAGTCTTGAGCTATTAAGAATAAAGATGCTGTGAATATTTTTTTACAAGTCTTTTCATGGACATTCTTTCCCTTTTGGGTAAATACCAGATACATTTGCTGGACCATAGGATAAGTGTGTGTTTAACTGTTTAAGAAACTGTCAAATTGTTTTCCAAAGTAGCTGTACCATTTTACACACCCATCAGCAACGTATGAGATTTCAGTTCTTCCACGTCCTCACTGGATATTGTCAGTGTTTTATTTTATCCATTTTAGTTAATGGGTTTGTAGTAGTTGCTCATTGTGGTTTTACTTTGCATTTTCCTGATGTCTTAATTCATTGAACATCTTTGATCATGTTTATTGGCTATTTTTATGTCTTTGTGAAGAGTCTGTTCAAGTCTTTTGCTCATTTTTAAAAAAACTAGGTCATTTGATTTATTGACTTGTAGAACTTTATACATTTTGGATATAAGTCCTATGTCAGAAATAAGTATAGTGAATATTTTCGTTCTTTTTTTAAGCTTAAGGGAAACTTTAGTTTTCTTTTAAAAGCAATCTAGTTTAAAAATGAGTTGAAGTTAAGGGAATAAGAAAGAACATGAAATCTAAGAGACAGAATCAAATGGACAGACAGGAGGAAGGAGGGCTGGCCTCTGGTTAGTGGCCTCCACAACAGATATTCTCCATGTTGGAGATGAGGTCATGACAGATTCTGGTCAGTTCATTGTTTTCTGTAGTCTTCTGCTCTACGGTCTTCTCCTATGAGTGGATCCCCATCTGCTTTTCCCTCAGGCTCGCCTGTAAGTCCAACACCTTTGTGGCTACCAATTGAGTGAATATTCTCTTTAGGTCTGTGGTTTGCCTTTTGTATTCCGAAGCATCTTTAAAAAAAGGCTTAATTTTGAGTAAGTCCATTTTATCAATTTTTCCCTTTTTTTGGTTAATGCTTTTGTTTTCTATCCAAGACATATTTTTTTTTTTTTTTTTGTCTTTTGTCTTTTTTCCGTGTCCGGCAACGGATCGCAACCCTCAGTGTTGCCCCCGTACTGGACCGGGGACCAGCAACGGGATCGCAAGCCTCGGCGTTGCTCCCGCGCCTCGCTCAGCCAGTGAGCGGGAGCCGGTCTGTATGTGGGATCCGAACCCTCGGACGGGAGCGCCGCCGCGCTTCCCAAGCGGCGCACTATCCAGTGCGCCACCGGGCCGGCCCTCTATCCAAGACATATTTTGCCTTCCCAATGACCACAAAAGTTTTTGCCGGTGTTTTTTCCCTAGAAGTTTTATAGTTTTTCTTTTCATGTTTAGGTCTGTGATCCATGTTGAATTAATTTCTCTGTGGTGTGAGATAGGGATTGAGATCCTTCCCCTTCCTTCCTCCATACAGATATCTAACTGGTACAGCACCATATGTTGAAAAGACTATCCTTTTTCCTTTGAGTTACCTTGGATCTTTATAAAGAACAAGTTAGAGAATATATAAAATGTGTCTATTTCTGGATTTCATTCTATTCTGTTGACCTGTATATCTGTCTTTACTCTAGTACCACACTGTCTTTCTTATTGTATTTTTATAGTGAGTCTCGGAAAGTGCTAACAGACACTTTGTTGTATAAAGCCTTTTGCTACCCCTGGAATTTGTAGTATGTGTTAAGCAGCAGTGTGAGGGTTTTTTTTTTGTTTTTGGCGGCTGGCTGGTAAGGAGTGTGAAGTTTTTGAAAAATAGTTTTTTGTGAACAGTTTTTTCTCAATTTGACTCTGAGTGAAGTACATTGAAGATATTATTTGAAATGAATGTTAAAAGGATAAGCTTTTGGGCCGGCCCGGTGGCGCACTGCTACAGTGTGCCGCTTGGGAGTGCGGCAGCGCTCCCGCTGAGGGTTCGGATCCCACATACAGACTGGCCGCTCACTGGCTGAGCAAGGTGCTGGCGCAACACTGAGGGTTGCGATCCCGTTGCCGGTCCTGGTCTGGTACGGGCGCAACACTGAGGGTTGCGATCCCGTTGCCGGTCCCGGTCCGGTACGGGCGCGACACTGAGGGTTGTGATCCGTTGCCGGTCACGAAAAAAGACAAAAAGAAAAAAAAAAAAAAAAAGGATAAGCTTTTTCATGTTGCTGTTGACTGGCACTCTGTATTATATTTAGAATGATTGTTTCAGCAATGTAGCTATCGATTTCTTTTGGTTGTAGTTTGTACTGCAGGATTTTACTTACCAATGATTTTTTTAAATTGTGATAAAAATGTATGAGTATTCACATTGTTCACATTGTTATGAAACATTGTTACTGAGCAATCTTCAGAACTTTTTCATCTTGGAAAACTGAAACTCTATAGCAACAACTCCCCTTCTCCCTTTCCTTATCCCTGGCTGTCCACCATTCTACTTTTTGATTCTGTGAATTCGACTACTTTAGCTTCCTCATGTTAGTGAAATCAAACAGTATTTATCTTTTTGTGACTGCTTATTTAACTTAGCATAATGTACTCAAGATTCATCTGTGTAGTATCATGTGACAGGATTTCCTTTTTTAAGGCAGTGTAATATTCTGTTGTATGTATATACCACATTTGCGTATCCATTCATCTGTGAGTGGAAATTTGGGTTGCTTCCACTTCTTGGCTATTGTGAATAATGCTGCTGTGCACATGGATGTGCAAATATCTCTTGGAGACTCTGCTTTCAATTCTTGAATATATACCCATAGTGGAATTGCTGGGTCATATGGTAGTTCTATCTTTGGTTTTTTTTTTTTTTTTTAAGGAACCTCCATACTGTTTTCATAGCAATTACACTGTTTTACTACTATGTTTATAAATTTATTTACTTATTTATTTTTGGTTGGATGGATGAGCTTCTAAACCCGTGACCTTGGGCATACAAGGCTGCACTCTAACCAGCTGAGCAACCAGCCAGCCCTTGATGTTTATAAATTTAAAAATAAGAAATGTGAAGTGTGCTCTGTTTAATTCTATCTTTTTTGGAATATTTTTTTTTTTTAACAATGATGTCCTGTGGTTACAGTTTTTATAGTGAGGTTAGTAGTTATTTTTATGATTAGAAATAGAATGAGGGTGCACCAAGTTGTGAAAATAAGTATGGACACCACTGTTGAAAGGAATACCCCTTTTTATGCTTTTGTTTCTTTTGCAGATTGGGAAAATGAGGTACGTTAGTGTTCGGGACTTTAAAGGGAAAGTTCTAATTGATATTAGAGAATATTGGATGGATCCAGAAGGTGAAATGAAACCAGGGAGAAAAGGTGAGTTTTAATGTCTTGAATTTGGTTCTAATGTTGGGACTTTTCTAATCTACCTTACCTGTAATTGAAATAACATTAGCAGGGTGCACACGGCTAGGAAGAACGTTACTGAGTTGATTTGGACATACTTAACCTTTTAAAAATGAGATGTCTTATATACACCTGTTGGGAATAACACCCAAAAAAATAACACCCCTAATATCACTTTAATTGGCTGCTAATCTACTTAAATGTTATTTAAAAAAAATTTTTTTTTTTTTTTTACAGCACTTCTGAAGCAAATTAGGCACTGTCTGGGTTGTAAAATCAGAAATGGAAAATCCTGGTTTATATAGTTTCCTTTTGATTCTGCTCCTAAAGGCTCTTTTTTTTTTTGGTGGCTGGTACCTTGACCTTGGTATTCCAACACTGTGCTGTAACTATAGGCTGTTCTTTAGGGTAGTGTCCTTCAAGTGAGTGTCTGTTCTTCTTCCATTTGTGCTTCATCCAGTCCCAAGCCTTTTAGCATTGTAGAAACATATTTTATTCATTTACCAAATAGCTAGAGAACATTTGATATTATAAGGCTGTGTTCTAACGAGCTAACTGGCCAGCCTCTTAAGCATACATTTGGGAACCAACCTAAATTTGTATATTTAAGTAGTTATTTGCTCAAATGCCTCCTTATTTAGTTCTACTCTTGCCTGCCTGTCAGTTTGAAAGGTACTCCTTGTTTGCTTCATGCAATTTTTGGGTTTATTAAACTCAACCTCTGTATGTCTTCATACCCTTTTAGGTTTTTTTTGTTCATGTCACTTCTGGATTGGTCATGCACGTTGTTCCAGAGTGGCCAATGCCAGATTTCGTGGTCCTGCAAACATTTACTGAAACAATTTGATTAGCTTGAAAGCACTTCCTAGGTGTTAACTCAATATATTCTTCTCCTTTGCAGTTTCATGGCCTTCCAGCAGTTTTCTGAGAAATACATTAGTTCTTCTAATTCTAGTTTATTTCTCTATTTATACATGTCAGGTATTAGAATGCTGGAAGTGTGAAGTACAAAATATTGAGAAGTTAAATTTCTGTTCGTACTTCTACATTTTAAATTGGAAAGACAGGGCTGGCTGGTTAGCTTAGTTGGTTGGAGTGCAGCCTTGTTAATACCAACATCAAGGGTTTGGTTCCCTGAACCGGCCAGCTGCCCCCAAATAAAAGAAAGAAAGAAATTGGGAAGACAAATGTTGTTTTATGTTTTTAAGTGTTTACTTAGTGTTGGGTGGTATGCTATGTATGCTTTTTATTCAAATTACCTAATTTAATCATTTACAATAACCCTTTGAAGTATAAGTACCAGCGTTTTTAAGTGTTTACTTAGTGTTGGGTGGTATGCTATGTAGGCTTTTTATTCAAATTACCTAATTTAATCATTTACAATAACCCTTTGAAGTATAAGTACCAGTTTACTGGTGAGAAAGCTGAGGCTCTCAGAAGATAATGTAATTTTTTTTAAGGTCATATAGTTAGTAAGGTGGGGATTTTTTTTTTTTTTTTTTCCTTTTTGTCTTTTTTTTCGTGACCGGCAACGGATCGCAACCCTCAGTGTTGCGCCCGTACCGGACCGGGACCGGCAACGGGATTGCAACCCTCGGTGTTGCGCCTGCACCTCGCTCAGCCAGTGAGCGGCCAGTCTGTATGTGGGATCTGAACCCTCGGTGGGAGCGCCAGCGCACTCCCAAGCGGCGCACTGTAGCAGTGCGCCACCGGGCCGGCCCCAAGGTGCTTTCATGTTTTCAGCAGGTAGAGGTAAGGCAAAAGGCCTTGCTAATCTGATTCATCTCTTATGTCCATTAGATAGTTAGGAAATCTTTCAAAATGTAAATTTGTATCTGGACAACCATGTTTTTATACTTTATGACATAAAATTAATCAGATACATCTACATAGTTGTAGAATGGAGGGATTTCTTAGCTCAATGGAGAATAAGAAATTAATAATGGATGGGAGACTTTTTTTAGGATGACTGGCTGCAGGAAGAAATTGTAGTGACAGAAGCCATGTGCAGTGAATTTGAATTAGTGTTCTTTAGGGAGCTACCAGAGAGATATAATTTACAAGATAATCAAGAACGTAAATAGATTCTCCGTGGAGTCGTCATTCGATCACTGACATATACTCATTTGTATTGAAATGACTCCATGACTACATTCTAACAATTATAGATTCAATAAGGGTGAGATGTACATGCGTAACTTCAAGAAAAACAAAATATATATCAGTAACAATATAAATTGACAGCCAGATGTTAAAATTATAAACTTTTGGTTTATGAAATCCATACTTGATCTGTTCTCTTCCAAACAGATGTCTGGACTTGTTTGACTTTTCCACTCTGATGCTTAACTTTTCTTTATTTTCCTTTAATCTTTTCATGTTCAGTTTTTATTTCGCTCACTCCTTACTCTTTTCCTTGAATATATTATGCTACTTTGGAAAGTCAGTGAAACTGTCAAAAATTTATCTCAATAAGGTACTTAATTAAAATATTTGAGATCTATAATCACTAAACCCTACTGTATTAAATATTAGCAGATATAGTTTGATACACAACATGGCTTGTATGAAAACTTTGAGCAAGTGTATGTCGTTACCCATAGTGGTCTGTGTAGTTATCACTTAGTCTGCAGAAAATAATGACTCCAGATGTCTGATTTGCTTTTACTTATTAAACATGTTCACTGTGGGATGATGTCTATAAAATCAGATATTGTTAAACTAGTCTAGGGTTCAATAAAAATTGTGAAAGCTTACTGGTCTAATATTTTATTTTATATTATTTAGTATGGATTATGTATAGCCAGAGATGTCACTGAGCTTTACCGTCATAGTAGGTCATGTGATCAGTTTTTAGGGAAAAGAGCATATAGAGCATATACTTGTATTTTTCGCCTTTGTTTCAGTAGACTTGGTTATTTTTCAGTTAATCTACTGGACAATAGCATTCTAGAGTTGATGTTACTAAGTTTTAGCAGACGCTCTTAAGTGGTTTTTATTTAACCATAATGATGAAGCAGACAGATTGAGGCACAGATTTTATGGAATTTGCAGCAATAAATAGGGCATGGTGTGCCTTAGGAAAAGAGTGTTTATAGAGGGAACTATAACTGACGTTAAAGAAGGTGGCAGTGAAGGGGAAAGAATTCTGTGATATACATGTGATATTTTGAGAGTTTGATCACATTGATAGGACACGATTCTAGATAGAATAGTACAAAGAAAGTTTAAAGATGTAATAAATTCTTACCGACAAATTATTTTTGGTAGCAAATCTCAAATGGTTACTGTAACTAAAAGCTGTCATATCAGAGAGTCGCACTGTTTCAGCCAAGTTTAATTCCTATATCTAAAACATTTTATAGTAGAATTGTCAAGGATTTAATTTTAAAACCATCTGCCAGGCCACATATAGTTGGTCAGTTTTTTTCTGGCAGCTATTCTGTTGTGTTTTTCTTTCTTACATTTTTTTGAATGACTTTTTTAGTGTATTTAGCAGTAACCTTAATAGGTGCAAATTAGTAAAATAAAGAAATTTCTGGTGGTTTAGCCTTCATCAAATGGTAGATACCAGAGTGTTCAAAATACATATTTTAGACATCGTTCTTGATTGATAACTTCCCTCTCCCTTATGTGGGATCATATGTGTCCTATTAATTGAATAGATTCTTAAAGTATTCCTTATTTTGGCACACAGAAAGGGTAGTTAGAACACAGAACTTTGATTTTGGTGTAGATGAAGAGGGAACGATGGGTAAATATCCTAGGTTTATATGAGTTTAGGGGGTGTATGCATTTTGAAACAATCTAATAGAGAGGTGGTGCTGAAATCTATTACCTAGGCAGTTCCTAGCTGTTTAGCATTATGTTAATAAAACCTTCATATAAGGAGTGTTTCTCTGGGACAGTTTGGTAAGTTGACTGCTAAATCAATTTAAATATGTTACCGGATATGCAATATACTGAAATTATTTGTGTGTGTAGGAAAGGATGAGAACTGGGTTAAAACAAAAGGCAGGTTAACTTGTACTGAAAACAGGAGATAGAGTACTTTTTTTTTTCTGTTTAAGCTTGATCTCTTTGGTAAGATTTTTCTCTGAGGAAGAAAGCTTGGCATTTTGAGGCATAGCTATCTTACCTTGTAATGCCAAAATGAATTTAATTAATGCCAATACTCAGGTTTTGCCCTTTAATATACTCAATAGCAGGGCTTTCTAATGGGTTTTTCCTCTTTGTCTTTTAAAGTATGAGCAACATTTTACCACTTTCCAGTGCTCTTGGCATTTTATTCAAAGAACAACCACTAAAAAAAAAACCTCTTTGTAATTTGATCATTCTCTTTTGCTTTGCTTCATAAATGCCTAAGAACTTCTTTTGACTTTCCAGTGCTCTTGGCATTTTATTCAAAGAACAACCACTAAAAAAAAAGAAAAACTCTTTGTAATTTGATCATTCTCTTTTGCTTTGCTTCATAAATGCCTAAGAACTTCTTTTGAAAACTACTCCTACCTCATTAGCTAGTCAAGATTCTGTGATGATCAACCTATTCTAAGTAATATATTTAGAAACAAAGACTTAGGGGGAAAGTACTGAAAGGAAGTACGTCCTGGTTTTGCTATTGAGGGGAGAAGAGAAAGAACTGAGTATTATTTAAATGTTTCTGACAGAGGTATGTTGAAGAATAATGTAAAAGTTTGAAATTAAAAAAAAAAATGTTGACTAGTATTTAGGTATCTCTCCTGAAATTCTTTGCGGTTGACTTTTTATGGAAATTAATCCAGTGAAACACTCAAGTTTTTTTAAGAAGTGTTTTTCCAGATAAACTCTAGGGTAAACATTCACATAATCACAAATATGTAATTCTGTAATTGTGGAATGCCTGTTTGCTTTGTTTAATACATCTTCCATGGAGATGTCAATGAATATAATACTCCATCTGTGAATATTTTAAATGTTGAAATAAAAATAAG